CTCCCTTTTGCAGCCAGCCTCTAGCGGCCAGTTGACGAATTACAGTTTAAGTCACTTCCGTGTTGGCTTCACGAGAGAGAGCGGGAGGTTGCCGCTTGAGTTAAACCAAGTGTAATTTGTATTGTTTTCAGCTAAAATGCATTTGAATACATTTAAAATAGCTACAGAAGCTGGTATGTTGATGAAGTGCATGCTATAGGTCTTGTGAAAAGTTTTCCATGCATATGTTTCATTTTGACCTCCTAGTGTCTAAAAGCATTAGTTTAATTAACTTCAATTTTTTTACTCATATGTGTAGTAATTAGGAATATCTGGTTTTAGTTTGGTTTCATTGTGACTTCAAGTTCTACAACATTTTGTGCTTTCAGCCACAAGTTGCCTTTTTATGAGTGCTGTGCATTATCAAAGTTATTTTCCATAATTGCTAGACAAATCGTGGAAAGTCATTGATCAGAAAGCACAAGTGTAGCAAGTTCTCGGATCTTCTTGGAGTGCGGTAGCATTTTGTATGGTTGTCAAATCCAACTACACTGCCCAAAACGTTTATTCATTTTAAGAGATCGGCTAAAGTAGTTCAATATTCTTTCCAACGGAGAACTCCGTTAATTTAGCTTTTAAATTACATCCATGATCTAATATGAATGATCGCTCTGCAGAAAAACTGGAGGAAGCCCAGAGGTATTGACAACAGAGTGCGCAGGCGCTTCAAGGGTCAGATGTTGATGCCCAACATCGGTTATGGGAGTAACAAGAAGACCAAACACATGCTGCCCTCTGGATTCAGGAAGTTCTTGGTCCACAATGTCAAGGAACTTGAAGTCCTCATGATGAGCAACAAGTAAGATTGTTATATATTGCCACTACTATACCTAATGTAAGTGTGCTCAGATTACCATTTCATATAAATCCTTTGTATATTTTAATGTGGTGGTTCTTTGTGGTCTTAGTATTATGTAACTAGTTGATTATATTTGTTTAAAGCAGACTGGACTGTCTATATCTCTCTGATCATACCTGTTGAATTGCCCGTATTCATCTCAGGTGTTGAATTCAGAGAAATAGCATGGCGGAGGAAATACCCATTCCACCTCTAGCTCTTGCTATAGCCAGCAGGTGGAAGATAATCTGCAACAAGTGACTAGCGCTTGTATTTGGGTCTCCTCTTCTGAATAGAACTAGTTTGTGTAAACGGATAACTTGAGTTTCAATGATGAATGCTGCATTTGCTTATTTAGTATTGTTTTTAAAACAAGAACGTGATAATCTTAAGGTTATTCTTTCTCTGTAGGTCCCATTGTGCAGAGATCGCCCACAATGTGTCTTCAAAGAACAGGAAGATCATTGTAGAAAGGGCCGCTCAGTTGGCCATTAAGGTCACAAACCCCAACGCCAGACTTCGCAGCGAGGAGAACGAATAATCTGGTTATCTTGTTGTCTTTTCAATAAAGTGAAAGCGTTAACTACTCTTGTGTTTTCTGTCTCATTTATAGTGTAGATACGAGATTTGCAACCCTGTTCACTGCTCGCTTTGAATATCTCCATTCTATCACACACCCGTTTCAGAGCTGCATCCAAAAGCTAAAAATGTCTGCAGGGATAAGAAGGATAAGGATAACAATCACATCCTGTCTGCTGAGATATCGGACTGATTTTAAAGGCAGCATTAGTGGTTTTTGCTTTCTATGATGTCACAAAAAAAATCCTATGTGTTTGTGTGACAATTGAGTGAAAATAAAAACGGCATCTGGAAGCTGCAGTTGGTGGACAGTATTGTTTGTTAATGTGTATATTTTTAATCAACTTTTTCCACTTTTTTCCACAGTAATTCAATATTCTCTTGGTTATCAACAAAGCATTCTGTTTTGTTGTAGATTTTGGATGTTTCTTTGTGTGTCTGAAAAGTCATTGCATGATAGGGTCGTAAACCAACAAGTCCGCTGCTTAAAAATTTCCATACAGCCCTGGGCGCATCCGAAATCGCATGCATTCCTTCTGAGTAGGTACTTCACAGCCATTAATAAATCCTCTCCTGTGGCCTCATGGGATATTAAAGTGTCATATGCATGCTTCAGAATTACGCCGGAAGATGTTGGTCATTTGGGTACTTTGACTATTTTGTGGCCATTGTGGAATGGGACTTTTGTCACATGCCGTTTTTGCCTGCTATATAGTAGGGAAGTATGCGATTTTGGATGCAGCCCAGGTCTTTGAGACTACTAATGAGCTGATGACCTGAATCAGGTGTGTTTGAGACATTCAAAATGTGCACTGTTGGATGGGCTCCAGGAACGGGGTTGAAAAACCCTGGTCTAGTAGACGCTGATTATGTAATAATATGCTCCAAGCTTTAAAAGTATTTGTTTATTTTCACAAATCTGTAGTCCATTGCAGGTTCTGCAACCACAAACCATAACAAATTGCAGTTGTGAGTCCTAACTGGTGTCCATCGATTCTACAGCCCCTATTAAGGGGTCTCCTTGAAGGCTCTCGAAGATGGTGGCCATCTCCGCATTGCTTCGGATCTGATTGGCAAAGTCTGCCATAGCGGGACTCTTTTCCACCTCGCTGATGGACAGCAGGGCGGCGACTGCACGCATGGCAGAGCGCCTCAGCTCTTCCTGTTTCTCAAACTCTTGCTTCACTGAACCAGCTTTTACCTTTGTTATAAAAGTAGATTATTATTTACTTAAGTTTTAAGACAACCCATCTTTGTAACAAACTGCTGTCATGTTAAGCCTTACCTTTGTAGTGCAAGTAGCTTTTAGTGGTTCCACTAACCTGTCCAGCCTTTGTACCACAGCGGCTGGACACAGTTTAGAAAGTCTGGCAAGCATAATGAAGGTCAGCATCTGAAATACCAGAAACAAAATTCTTAAAGGGAATGAACAGTGGAAAAAAAAAATATATATATTTTTTTCAATCCCATGTAATGGACATTTAAAGGGATACTCCACCCCAAAATGAAAATGTTGTCATTAATCACTTACCCCCATGTCGTTCCAAACCCGTTAAAGCTTCGTTCGTCTTCGGAACACAATTTAAGATATTTTGGATGAAAACCGGGAGGCTTGTGACTGTCCGATTGACTGCAAAGTAAATTACACTGTCAAGGTCCAGAAAAGTATGAAAGACATCGTCAGAATAGTCCATCTGCCATCAGTGGTTCAACCGTAACGTTATGAAGCGACGAGAATACTTTTTGTACGCGAAGAAAACAAAAATAACGACTTTAATCAACAATTCATCTCCTCTGTGTCTCTCCGCATCACCGTAGCGCCATTCCGCAGAACGCAAGCAGCGTACGCTCTTCTGTGTCAGCCGCGCCACAAGGATACGTTTTCTATGTGTATTTACGCTTTGATTTGAAAGAAAACAGCGCATCCGCACAGAACAGCATAAGCAGTTTGTGTTCAGTGGATACTCTCCAAAATGGCGCTACGGTGATGCGGAGAGATACAGAGGAGATGAATTGTTGAATAAAGTCGTTATTTTTGTTTTCTTTGCGTACAAAAAGTATTCTCGTCGCTTCATAACGTTACGGTTGAACCACTGATGGCAGATGGACTATTTTGACGATGTCTTTCATACTTTTCTGGACCTTGACAGTGTAATTTACTTTGCAGTCAATCGGACAGTCACAAGCCTCCCGGTTTTCATCCAAAATATCTTAAATTGTGTTCCGAAGACGAACGGAGCTTTAACGGGTTTGGAACGACATGGGGGTAAGTGATTAATGACAAAATTTTCATTTTGGGGTGGGGTATCCCTTTAAGCATAATGTAATCCATTCTACCATAACCTCACTGAAAATGCACTTACTTTAATGTCATAGTGATCTTTCAGGCCTTCTTCAACATGGTTCAGAAATTCAAAGATGTCCAAACAGTCCAGGCAGCTGTCCAGCAGGGTGTACATACATTCAAAAGCTGCCTTGCGGACGTCCAAACCATCATCTACTGTGTGCTTGAAGGGGCCCATCTCAACCTGAGATGTGATTAAACGTGCCATAATTTAAGTTTAATCAAATTTCACAAAGAATTTTAATTTATTTGACTGTTTTTGTGTATCAGTATTTCCAATATCTTTCTTGTGCTTTTAACGTTCATAATTTGTACCTCTCTGACAAGGTCTTTTCTGATTTGTGTCTCCTTGTATAGATGTGGGAGAAGTGATGTCAGAAGTCCACGGATCAGGGAGGGTTTGTTGTGGGCAGCTGAATTAAACATGACTAAAGCCACCCGCCGAACATTGAGGTCCGGATCCTGGAGTGTTTTCAGGAAGTCACCTAATAGCAGAATTACAAACTAGGCCATTAGTTAAAGGATTTAAAATAGTATCTATCATGCATTTACCTATATATAAGTAAAAACAAGCAAGTTACCAATGCACCCTTTGAGAAGTGAGTCTATGGGCATGGGGTGGTCTACAATGGTGAACTTCACTGCAGTTACAACTGTACTGCGAGAAAGAGGAGACCCTGGAAGAACAATAAATATAGTTTTTTGTTTAGATTTGTGCAGCCCAATTATGTATATCAAACACTTTGCTACATTTTAAGACTATATGTTTGAAACTAGCCCATTATCAAGTGAGTAAATTCAAGATAACATTTAATCTATTACCCGAGGACAGTTGTTTCTTTAGCCTTGGTAGGAGTTCAGATGGACTGACCAATGTGAGTTTCCCGAAACATTCGGCTACAATATTGCGAGTGCCCTCCTCTGCGCATTCACAGTGCTTGAATAGCAAAGCCCAGATGTTCTCCACATGAGGCTTGAGACTGTCTGCTGACAGAGCACTGATCATTTCTTTGAGCGAGTGTAGAAGCAGGTACTGTCTCTTCGGCTGGCTGCCGATCTCCTTGAGCATGAATGGCAGGTACTCCCCCAAGTTTCCGACACAAATGTTTCCCAAAGCAAAAGATGCAGCAGACTTGACTTCCTCATTAGGAGAACCGAAGGCTTCCATTATGACTCCCTTCAGTTCCTTCTGCCCTTCGAAGTTCATAAAACGTCCAATTTCTCCAAGGCACAGCAATGAGAGAATTCTCACCGACTCGGATGATTTGGGGTTCTTAACCTCCTGGATAAGATTGGTGACCACTCCAGAAGCTTCTTTGGGAAAGGCCATCGACAAGGCAGCTACACACTTGGCCACCGAGTAGTAGGACTGTTTATGCACGGACAGTGAGTCAGTAGACTTGAAATCATAGAAAGGCCCCCTCAAGCCTTTCAGAAGGTCACTGTAACCCATATTGTTGGCCTTTGTTGCTACAAGAACCTGGAAGAACTCAAGTATTGAATTAAGAGCACCTCCTTGTAGCAGTGGAGAATGGACTAAGTTTAGCACTTCAGGTAAGATCGTCCCCCCAATCTTGCTCAAAGAGGACGGGCAAACTTTGGCCATACAGGTGATCAGTGTTATGGCTACTTGTGAGATATGCATATCGCGCTCCTGAATCAAAGCAGGCACCTCACTCAGTATGGACTCTATCAAAGGCGGCTTGAAGCTGTCGCTGTAGTTTGTGACCATCACATTCAGGGCTGTTGTCGTGTTCAACTTAAGGGCCCGCTGGTTTTTCCGCAAGAAGGATCCAAGCATTGGAATCCCCTCTGTTAAAATGGGCCTTAAGTCGATTTTAAGTGGCGAGGAAGCGACAAGAGTCAAAGTCTTCACTGTGACAAGTCTGGTGATTTCATTTTTAAGCCTTTCCAGAAATATCTGTAAGGTGGGCTGCAGGTCACCACCAAGCTGGTCACCAAAATGACTCAAAATGTGGCCCATGCAGAAAATGGCCCGCTCTTTCACCTCTTGGTCTATGTCAGCCGCCTTCAACCTCTTTGAGGTGCAAGCAAACACGTTCTTGATGTAAGGTTTGGCATCAAAAGAGACAGGCTTGTCCAGTGGCCGCATGAGTTTGACAATCTGCTGGGTGACTTGGAGGGCCTCCGATATGATTTTATAAAATGGGTCTTCGACGCATTGGATCACTGGTGGTAAGATGACGCTAATGTGTGGTTGGAAGATCTCTGGCTTGTGGCTACTTAAGAGAACATTAAGGAAAGCAAGGGCATCAATCTTCATATTTGAAGAGGTCGACTTGTCTGTCAAGGAGTAAATAATACCTAAAGAGAGACAGAGGCTTAAATGAATAGTTACACTAAAACTAATATGCCACAATGCTGGTTAAAAAGAAAAATGAAAATTCTGTCATTAATTACTCACTTATTAATTACTCTCATGTTGTTCCAAAACCCGTGAGACCTTCGTTCATCTTCGGAAAACAAATTAAGATATTTTTTATGAAATTTGAGAGCTTTCTGACCCTCCATAGACAGCATCGCAACTACCACGTTCAAGGCCTTGAAACGTAGTAAGGACATTGCTAAAGTAGTCCATGTGACATCAGTGGTTCAACCGTAATTTTAAGTAGCTATGAGGATACTTTTTGTGCACAAAGAAAACAACAACAACAAAAAACAACTTTATTCAACAATTTCTTCTCCTCTGTGTCAGTCTTCGACGCATGTTCATGAGAGTACCAGTGTGCATTTCTCTGCTTGCAAACAAGCCGCAGTGTTCTACATCAGAACGCGGCTCCTGCGTCAGCAGCATCACTCGCATGCGTCGTGATACTCTCGTTAACGTGCATCGAAGACTGATATGGAAGAGAAGAAATTTGTGAATAAAATTATTATTTTTGTTTTCACTAATTGTATTGGTCTGGGATCCCTGCCGATTATTATTATTATTTATTATTATTTGCTTAACCACTTTAAAATTTTACCATCGGAGGCACGAGAGCTCCGCGCTCCCCCGGCCTCCCCTCCCCTTCTCTATCATTAGCGGTTGCAATTACATCAGCAGATTCGGCACATTCGTGATAGAAAAGCGGCGCTTTTTATGTTATGGTATTACAGCTGTGAAATTACAAACAAAAAATACACATTCTGAGACATGAACTGAATTGTGAATTTTATTAACATTAAATCGTCCTCCTCCCATTTTCACCTCAAAATTATGGGGAAGCTGTGCCTCCCCTGCCTCCCCCGACGAGCCGCCACTGCGTGGTAGTACCATTGCTGTCTATGCAGGGTCAAAAAGCTCTCGGATTTCATCAAAAATATCTTAATTTGTGTTCCGAAGATGAACGAAGGTCTTGGGTTTGGAACAACATGAGGGTGAGCAATTAATGACAGAATTTTCATTTTTGGGTGAACTAACCCTTTAAAAAGCACAACTGGATGCAAAAGGTCCAAAGACAACTCGACAGACTCTTATGTATTTGTTGCAACTAGAGCAAGAAACGAACATCACTGACCAGAACTTAGTATCCATTAGACAACCTGAAGTAAGCATGTTAGCTGTTCTTACTCAGAATAGTGACTTACACCATGTGTACAACAGGTGTGACGATAGTCATGGATCATGCTTCAACTATTTGAAGCTGTCTACACTGGACACGTCAAAACGGACTTTCCAAATCAGTTTGTCCTTAATGTCAGAATTCAAACGGTGCTTCAGTTTACTATTGGTAACTCATTGCTTTGCATCCATTGTAGACAGTCTTATACAATGTGGACAGGGTGTTAGCATAGCGTTTTATGCTAAATCTCTTTTAAGCTGACCTGGAATGAGGGCTGGTATGTGTTCTCCTAGTTGACCAGGCAGTACATTCGCCATCTCTGTCAAAAGATTGAAGCAGCCTTGCCTACATCTCATGCTTTTCTCCTTTAGCTGTCGGTGTAAGGCTTTTACAATCGTCGGTACCTGTGAGTGCAGGTGAGAGCTGTTTTTAAGAGATATGCACTGGATGCTACATGTAAGTTGGGTCAATAACCTGCAAACATTAGTAGGCTACCTGTTTCTTCAAGAGACAAGTTGCAGGCTCCTCTTTAGCCCCCGTGTCCAAAGTGGGACCATGAGGGTGTCTGGTCTGTCTGAGCAAAGCCACGTAGGCTGAGAAAATGTCAGTTTTAACATTTTCCTCACGCTCTTTGAAGCGGGACACCAACGTTGGGCTTACGGATCCATAGAGCTCCACCAGCAGATCCCTGCGGCTGCTGATTATCGCCTCCAGACATTTCACAGAGGAACGCCGCACCTTCCAGCTCATGTCATCATCGTCACTGTATTCATCGTCAGACTCTATAGATTACAATTGGGCTGACTGTGAAAAACATCCGCCATCTATCTGCCTCATCTCATAGCTAGATCAACTTGATTTTTTAATCTAACTATAATTCTTTTCAAAGGCATAATGTTTATTTATGTTTACGCTTAGAGTTGCATAATGATGGTCATAAAAATCACCCTGATCTTCATCTTCTCTGTCCTCAGTGTCCATACTGTCATCCTCGTCATCATCAGCATCGTAATTGTAATTGGGGTCGTAGATGATGTACTTCAAACACAACTTGATGATTGCTTGGATGTGAGGGGACATTTCCTTTGGACATCTGTTAAAAAAAAACAGGAAATATTTTCTGACTTGCAAGTATAAACATACGGTAATAAAATAAAATAGTTAAAAAAAATAAAGAAATAAAGGAAATATTTTCTGACTTACAAGTATAAACATATGTTAATAAAATAAAATTGTAAAAAAAAATAAAGAAATAAAATAAATATTTTCTGACTTACAAATATAAACATACGGTAATAAAATAAAACAGTAAAAATAAAAAATAATATAACAAAATGTTACAAAAAGACAAAACATTATATACTTTAAACCAATATAGTGTATTAAAATAAAATGAGTCCAAAAAATTACCAAACATGATACAATGTAAACCAACATAAAAAAATAAAACTAAAATGACAACATTTTTTATAATTTATACCAAAATAATACAACAAAATGTTACAAAAATTACCCAGATGATATCGTTTTAAATAATATCATAAAATAAAATGAGTCAAAAATGTCAAAACATAATATAATGTAAACCAAAATAATAAAATAAAATACATTTTACAAAATGACAAAATGCATTATAAATTAAACCAAAATCACAAAATGTCAAAACAAGTTAGAATTTAAACAAACATAAAATAAAATGCAACAAGTTAAGTGAAAATAATAAAATACAAAAATAATTCTCTCATGTTTAAATTTTTTTTTTTTTTTTTCTTTTTTACAATTTTTAGTTTTAGACCAAATAATATAGAAAGAATGGTTCTACCTGCTAACAAAAGCTTCAAACGCTTGAAAGCAGAACTCGCGTAGCTCATCATCCTCCACGTTACAAAACTTCACCACCATTGGCACAATCTTCTGCAGGTGTTCCCCTTCAGATCATAAGACTCCATATTACTCCACTTGAATATTCAAAATGTTTTGTAATACTGAATTTATCCTAGCTAGTCTCTTCGGCTCCCTCTGCTGGTCACTCAATAACACTACATTCCCTCAAAACGGACAAATCAGCTCTCACCGATCCTGTGTCCTCCTCGTCTGCTGACCGTGGCCAGGCACTGGATGTAGGTGCGGACGCTGGCGGTGGGCGGCCCGCGGGACAGTTCGCCCATGAGGTGTGCGGTGAGCTGCGTGAACAGAGTGGGGCTACAGCTGGGCACCAGGTGACCCAGAGCGATAATAGAGCGTTTCCTCACAGCCATACGAGGACTCATGAGCTGAGCAAGGAGGCTGGTCAGAATCGACTGATGGACGCTCACCAGAGCAGTGCTCAACCTGGCAAATAATGTAGAAGACTGATGGGTGGATGCTCATTAACACTTACAAGTTGAGGTCAAAAGTTTACATCCCCCTTTCAGAATCTGCAAAATGCTAATTATTTTACCAAAATAAGAGGGATCATACTAAATGCATGTTATTGTTTATTTAGTACATGACCTGAATGAGATATTTCACATAAAAGACGTTTACATATAGTCCACAAGAGAAAATAATAGTTGAATTTATAAAAATGGCCCCGTTCAAAAGTTTACATCCCCTTGATTCTTAATACTGTGTTGTTGCCTGAATGATCCACAGCTGTGTTTTTGGTTTAGTGATAGTTGTTCATGAGTCCCTTGTTTGTCCTGAACAGTTAAATTGCCTGCTGTTCTTCAGAAAAAACCTTCAGCTCCCACAAATTCTTTGGTTTTGCAGCATTTTTGTGTATTTGAACCCTTTCCAACATTGACTGTATGATTTTGAGATCCATCTTCTCACACTGAGGACAACTGTGGGATACATATGCAACTATTACAGAAGATTTTTCTTATTTTGCCTAAATATCATATTTTTTTTATATAAGTTAAATTTACCCTGATCTTCAAATTCAAAAAGTTTAAGGCTTTTAATGCATGTTTTTTTTCCTTCTGGAGCATCAGTGAGCATTTGAACCTTCTGTAATAGTTGCGTATGAGTCCCTCAGTTGTCCTCAGTGTGAAAAGATGGATCTCAAAACCACAGTCAACAGACAATACAGTCAATGTTGGAAAGGGTTCAAATACACAAAAATGCTGGAAAACCGAAGAATTTGTGGGAGCGGAAGGGTTTTTCTGAAGAACAGCAGGCAGTTTAACTGTTCAGGACAAACAAGGGACTCATGAACAACTATCACTAAACAAAAAACACAGCTGTGGATCATTCAGGCAACAACACAGTATTAAGAATCACAGGGTCATTTTTATAAATTCAACTATTATTTTCTCTTGTGGACTATATGTAAACATATTTTATGTGCAATATCTTATTCAGGTCAGTACTAAATAAACAATAACATGCATTTCAGATCCCTCTTAATTTGGTAAAATAATTAACATTTTGCAAATTCTGAAAGGGGGGTGTAAACTTTTGACCTCAACTGTACATGCAAGTACAAGACATTTGGACCAACCTGCCCAACATGTCGGAGAGAATATCCAAAGCCTCCAGCTGAATGGACACGTCGTCTTGCATTCCCAATGCTCCAATCAACTGGGACGTGATCTTCCTACAGACGTTGACTGTGAGGCTCAAACCTTCAACGCAATACAACAGCTATGACTAAAGATCCCAAAAAGATGGACATTTCTCTAATATCATCTTGATACCTGTAGATGAAGGTGGCAGTTCGGCGATGACGGTCTTCAGGCCCATGCTGGAAATGTCCCTCAGCTGCTCTTTGTTGGACACCATGTTGGAGCAGAGCGTGTCCACCATCGTCTCCACCTGACACTCCTTCACTTTTCCCACCAGAGGACCAAGACTACACAAACCAGAAATAATCCTGATCACTGCATCACTGTAAAGGAAGACGTTTGGAAGAAAATCTGAGTGAGAAAATACCATTTGACAGCCAGATTCTGCACTTCTCCGTTTTTGTCCTCCAGAAGTTTGAGTAGCATCGCCACAACCTTCCTCTCGCTTTCCTCGTCCAGTTTGATCGAGTCCTTCTGGAGCTCCATCATCAGGTCATTGGCCGCCATAAACCTGAAAGAAATCATAGTCTTTATTAGTGTTGATGTATACTTCACAATCCACATCGTGTAGTACCACAGTGCTGGGTAGTAACTGATTACATGTAATCTGGATTGTGTAATCAGATTACAAAAATTAAGTACTTTTAAGTACATTTTAAAATGCTCATAATCAGATTAGTTACTTTTTTTTATGGATTGCATGATTACATATTGTTCACACAGCGGCAGTAAATTATTAAAAATGTATTGATTCTCTCTAATTCTTATTTTTTCCTCTTTTGAATGTTCCTTTCTAATAATGCTACTTTGTGAATATAATCAAAGCTAAATGGTATGACACAAAGACATATTTCAAGGAATATATTTTCTTCTCTTTGCGTTTTTTATATCAGTGTGGTACATTTAATGGTAAGTTTAAAACACATTTGATAAAAAGTTATCTAAAAGTAACCTAAGAAGTAGTCAAAATGCATTACCTAAATGTAACCTAGATCACGCTACTAACTACAGTTTTCATAATATAATCTGTAATCTGTAACAGACTACAATTTGTTCGTAATCTACCCAGCACTGATAGTACATGTCCAAAACATGGTTTTACTATGGTAAATAAACACTACCAAGATATAGCACAACTGATAGCTCAAGCAATTAAAATCTTACATAGCAAAACAGTTTGAGAACAACAAATTAGAAACTGAATGCTGCTGGAATCGTGATAGTTATCGTTAATGCTGATTTATTTAATATGATTGGGTTAAGTTTCCTTTTGGCTAGCCAGCCAAAATACGACTAAAATATAAATAGCCTATAGAAGGGAACAGTCTTGTAAATTAAAATTTAATGCAAATAAATAATAGTTTTCAATAAGACCACAACAGCTATAGTTTTTAGTTACGAAATTCAATGTTTATTCAATTCAATTCAAGTTTATTTGTATAGCGCGATACAAAGCAGGTTTACAGAAAATTAAAGTTTATATATTAAAGTTTCTAAATTATAGTTAGTAGTAGCTTATCCGTGGTTTCCAGTGAAGCATTTTAAAGTATAGTAGGAATCTGAAAATTATTGATATAAAATGTTTTTAGGCCGTTGCTTTGTCATTGGCCTATTTTTGTAAATATTAGTCATGAAACACGCGTCTAACAACACACACTTGTCTTACCGAAAGTCTTTGTCAGTGGATGTCATTTTTTCCAAAAGATTGGAAATGTAAAAGGTGACATTCGACATCTTGACTTTTTAAAGAACTGCACTTTATGGCGATGTAAAAATTAATACAGAAAGTTGAGCTTGATGAAGATCATAGCGCCTGGATGGGACACTGGACAGGCTGGGACATATGACACTTTTGTACAGTTTATAAATAGAGATGAGCGATATATTAATAATTTAACGCGCTTTGCTGTCATCTGCTGGAATCAATGTGAAATGCAGGGCGCGGATGGGAAACGTTAAGCGGAACCTTTATTTCATTCCAGCCGGAGCGTTTAGCAGCGGAGACACAGTCCGCACGGAGCGCTGTCTGTCTGCCACGTCGGAAATATTACCAGTAAATATTCATTTCTGAAGCTCTGAAGAGCAACCAGGACACTTTCTGAAGATTTCAGTGGTGAAGGTGCTTGTTGGAGCGATATAATCAAATATGGTGAGTGTTGCATTATTGACTGGGCTTTGATTATTCTCAGATATTTGTTTAAACCCGGTAGTCCTTGAGCGGATGAATGGACAAATCTAAACAAATCCCAATTCTGTAGTTTTACAGTAAGTGACCTGATGGAAAATAAAACGCATTTTTAGATATCAAAACCGTTTCTGAGATTAAAAGCAACTTTTTGTTGTGTTTAGATTATCTTTATAAAACAGCTCTGATAATATTAATGTCAAATTATCTGATTTCATTCTGTCAAATATCTACGTTACAGTATCTATTGCGATATTTATTTATTTATTTTTATATTAAGTTTTTGTATTATATTTAGTGCTGTCAGTTGATTAAAATATTTAAATCAGTTAATTACGTGATAAATTATCAAATAAATAAACAAGTAAATAATCGCACATAATATCAGTATTTGCAGGAAAATATTAAATTACTATTATTATAGTATTTAGTGTTGTCAATTGATTCAAATATTTAATTTAGTTAATCGCTTTATAAATAAAACAAACAAATAAATGAACGACTGCATATGTCAGTATATGCAGAAAAATAAGTAAAATAAATGACTTATTTTTTGCGTTATATTTAAATATTATAAAATATTTTAAATATTAAATGAATGAGTCATGGCATATATTAGTATTTGTCAATTGAGTAAAATATTTAATTTAGTTAATTACATGATAAATAATAATTAAATAATAATAATGAAATGTAAAAATTATTAATTAGTTGCATATACCTTTATACATGACTGTGTTGTGTATTCAGATATAAATGCATGATAATATCAACAATTCTACTGATGTCAGTTAAATCTGACGCGCACACTAAATTTATAAAACACACTAAAATCAGTTTCTAACTATTTAAGTTTTCAAGCACGTCTGTGGTCTTGTGTCTTTCAGGTTTCAGTCATTAACACAGTGGACACCTCGCATGAGGATATGATCGTGAGTGTCTCCATCCGTTCTGTCTCCTTCTTTACCTCTGCTGCATCTTTGCTAGCGTTTTAACTCTGTTTTGTGGTTGTGTTTTCAGCATGATGCTCAGATGGACTATTACGGCACCAGACTGGCCACCTGCTCCTCTGATCGCTCTGTGAAGATCTTTGACGTCAAAAACGGAGGGCAGATCCTCGTGGCTGATCTGAGGGGGTGAGGAAATAAAACTAGGGCTTCAAAGATACCATAATGAAACTAAACCTTCAGGAGACAAGAACTGGAACATGTAACTCTTCTCTATGCAAATGGACACATTTTTAAATAAGATATTAAAATATTTAAATGTAAATATAAAGATACAGTTGAAAATAGATAAAGAAACAATTATACAATTTTAAAGAAACAATTAAAGTAATCAATTGTAATAAATGCATACATAAACCTATTTGTGCAATTTAGTATTATAATTTGGGCTATCAATTGATTAAAATATTTAATGCAGTTTATTGTGTGATAAATAATTGTAAAATAAACTGATACAATTTTGATACAGCCAAAAACGAATATGCTAATGAACACAGTTCAAAAATGTAACTGTAAACAAATATGCATTACAACACTTAAATATATTCTTCAAGTATTTTTCAATGAAGTATATGTTTTTAATTATTTAAGTAGTTATTCAAGTTTAAAAAGACTAAATAGATGAGAAAGAAACCAATTATTATTAAAAAAAAACAGTGGAATAATTATGTAAACACAGTTCAATGTTTTCCAGGTATTTATCAGCAATTTTAAATAAAAGTAAAAGTTCAATACATTTAGAACAACCAAAAGTGAAACAAACCGTCAATCAATCAATGAAACCGCTTACATTTATGTATTATATTTAGTGTTGTCAATTGATTCAAATATTGAACCCGGTAAATTAAATGATAAATAATTATCAAATAATAAATCAGATTTTTTTTTGTTTATATTTCAGTGTTGTCAGAAAGAGTATATATAAAATAAATGAACATAAAGCTGTTTAATTCTGCTGTACATCAAAGAAAATAAAGGAATGAGAATGGGCATAGACATAAAACAAGAAGACATAAAACAAATACACATCTAATAATTAATTGCCCGAGGAATTAAAAGCCATAGTTAATAAATGAGCTTTTAACAGAAATGTAAAACTAGAAAAACAACACACATATTTGTATTGGCTGGAAAAACCCCAAATAATTCGAAGATATGGCTGACAAAAGCATCAAATGGGCATTAAAGAAAGTGTTTTACTGGTATCATTACAATTTAATAAAATAAAAAAAATAAAAAAGTGACTTTTATCATAAGCTAAAACTGTAGTTTAAGGGTGACTTATGATTGATAACGGGGCTAATGTCTTATTAGTTCTAATTAGTTTATTTGAATTCTTTCCATCTCTTTGGGCAGTCATGAGGGTCCGGTGTGGCAGGTGGCCTGGGCTCACCCCATGTACGGCAACATCCTGGCATCCTGCTCCTACGACAGGAAGGTGATCATCTGGAAGGAGGAGAACGGCAGCTGGGACAAGATGTATGAATACACAGGCCACGACTCGTCCGGTAACTTCACGCTTTTGACTCTCGTATCAAACACTGGGACACAGAAGTGCATCCCGCTGTGGACAATCACACTCCCTTTGTTCTCCCGCAGTGAACTCAGTTTGCTGGGGACCGTATGACTTTGGCTTGTTTCTGGCCTGTGGCAGCTCAGACGGTGCCATTTCAGTGTTGACCTGCTCTGGAGATGGACACTGGGATATTAAGAAGATCAACAATGCACATACAGTGAGTTTAGCCTTTAGATGCGACCATAATATCTTAAAATATACCTCTTAAGGGCACTGATAATTGTATGATTATTACTATTACTACTATATACATATAAGATTCAGATTTTATAAAAAATGTGTGTGTAATTTTTGTTGTTGTTGTTGTTGTTTTGAATAACCTCCCAAATGCATTCGAATAGCTTGTATAACAGTAATAGATATTTTTTTAACTAAAACCCGATTGTATCTGAACAAAAACTTTTTATTAATTAGTAAAAGTGTGAAGATTTAAAGTTTTTGTATGTTTTTACTATGTTATTACTATATTTAACAAAATAACTTAAATGTAATATTTGTTTAAATAAATAAATAAATATATATATATAAATTATTTAATTTAATGTTGATTAAACATCCTAATGCATTCAAATACTGCCGACACCTTTTGCATTCCCGTGTCCGTTTTGACCCGCTGGAAAGCTAAAAAGGGTCATATGATGCTATTTCAAGTTTTCCTTTCTCTTTGGAGTGTTACAAGCTGATATGTGTTTTTTGAACATTAAAGCATGTCAACATATTCTGTTACACCAAATACACAAAATAATGATCTTTAAAAAAGCATCATATGACCCCTTTAATATTTTTCAGCTAAAACCATATTGTATCGGATTAAAAAGTTCTCAATAATAAATAAATGTTCAGAAATGTGCTTTTTTGGCATTATTACTATGTTATTACTATGTAATAATTTACTATGTTATTACTATATTTAACACCTTTTTAATTTAAACAGGTAAGGTTTTTGCACACTGTCCAAAGTTTTCGCACATTAAAAAAGAAATACGATTAGACGTCGTGTCAATCACGTTTACACACTGCCTCCGAAACTTTCGTCCGTCATAAAAACATTTAAATCGGGTTCGATTTTCTGCGTTTTTCGCATCCGTAGCGAGCATTTTGACTCTTGTGTGCAAGCTTTCTGTGAGTGACGATGATGAATGCAAAAAAATGCATACGAAAATTTCGGACTCGGTGTGCAAAGACCTTTAGAACTTTAGAACTTGAATTTAGAACTTTAGAACTTGAAATTTCTGATTTTACAGTGAAATCTCGATGATGCAAGAGAAACTTGGTTACACTTTATTTTAAGGTGTCCTTGTTACAGTGTAATTATATATTTAAGTACAGAGTAATATTAATTAACTACATGTTCTTACTATATGGTTTGGGTTAGGATTAAGGTTACTTACATGTAATTATGCATAATTAATTGTTATTATAATAGTAAGTACTTGTAACGTGTAACAAGGACACCTAAAAATAAAGTGTTACCAATTATTTATTTTTTTCAATATTCATCAGTGCTGATTGGACAATAAGGCTTTATAGACATGCAATATAGAGGCTTCAGCCGAGTGTAGTAGATGTCATACAAGACTGGCCCAGTTTGCTGTACTGCATCCTGTTATTTGAGTTTTTTTATGGTTTCTCTCTTCTCTCTGGCAGATCGGCTGTAATGCTGTGAGTTGGGCCCCAGCTGTTGTCCCAGGGAGTCTTATTGAGCAGCCAACAGGACAGAAGCCCAACTACATCAAGAGATTTGTGTCTGGAGGCTGTGACAATCTGGTCAAGCTGTGGAAGTGAGTGCAGCCCTTATTTTAGAGAGTACAGTGACGAGCACCTGCTGTCAGCTTTTACTGTCACACTTGGGCACCAATATACCCATGCAGAATTAAATAGAAAAAAATCTAAATAAATAAAATAAAATAATGTTATATTTACTTACTGAGTTTGTTATAATTTTATATATATATATACACTGAACAAAATTATAAACGCAACACTTTATATATTTTGAAAGAATTCTCTGATGCTCACAGTAATATTCTGAAAAGTTATTACAATTTAAAAGAACTGTTTTCTAT